TGGGAAAGGCAGGCCTGCGCTACCCAGAAGCCCTGGGGCCAGAAGCCTGGGTTCTGACTTTGCCTTTGATTCTCGCCGCATGGCCTTGGGAAATCCCTTTGCCTCCCAAGCGCACCGTTTCTTCTCTGTGAATCGGGAGGGCTGTTCTGATGACTATCCAACAAACACCGTGCCAGTACTGGACAGACGTCCCCAGACAATGGGAGGCCTGCTTGGTTCAGAGGAAGCCTTTTGGGCCAAAGAGAAGGAATGGAGAGAAGAGTTGGGACCAATGAAGAGAAAGGAGAAGTGAAGCCATTTCTCATGAGGCCCCTGAAAGACGAGGCTCCCCAGAAGGAAGGAGTGCGGGGAAACTACGCCGTTCTTGCCCCTGGCTGCACCCGAGAGCCACCTGGGAGCTTTTTGAGGCCTGACGCTCAGTGGCAGCTGGGTAGGGAACCCCTGCCCGAGGTCCCAGGCACATATGTGTGCTCTTAAAGGCCGGCGGTGAGCAGAGCTGAGCAAGCCTGTTTCCCACACTCGCTTGACCAAAGAAACCCATTAAAATCCCTCCCACGGCAAATACTGGGAAATGCAAGTGAGAGTTTACAGCACAGGCTTTGGAAGTGGGAGGCCTGGTCGCGTTCCTGACTCTGCCGCTTGCAGGGAACTCCGTCCATCAAAGCCTCCGCTGCCTCATCTATAAAGCGGGAGGACCATGCCGACGTCTCCGGGTCGTCAGACGATCAAACAACATCAAGAGTATGGAGCCATGAGAGCGCACAGGAAGCACTCGTGTGGAGGGAGGGAGCAGCCACACTGCTTATAAACCAAATGACCCCCAGCTCCCAAGCATCCCCACCGGCCATGGGACAGGGTGTGCATTCACCTCCTCAACACCCCCATGCTGAGGACCCACTACGGGCCAGGGCATACAGTGGTGGTCAACACAAACCCAGGCCCATCCCACACAGAGTGCACTCTGGCAGGGGGAGACGAATGTGAATCAAAGGATCATACAGACACACAGTTCAGAAGCATCCTGGCAGGGTGTGGTGGCTCACACCTGTAATCCCAGGTGTGAGTTTTTGGGAGGCTGAGGTGGGAGGATCACTTGAGCCCAGGAGCGTGAGGCTACAGTGACCTACGATCATGCCACTGCACTCCAGCTTGGGTGACAGAGCAAGACTCTCTTAAAAAAAAGTATATCAAGGCCGGGCGCGGTGGCTCACGCCTGTAATCCCAGCACTTTGGGAGGCCGAGGCGGGTGGATCATGAGGTCAAGAGATCGAGACCATCCTGGTCAACATGGTGAAACCCCGTCTCTACTAAAACTACAAAAAATTAGCTGGGCATGGTGGTGCGTGCCTGTAATCCCAGCTACTCAGGAGGCTGAGGCAGGAGAATTGCCTGAACCCAGGAGGCGGAGGTTGTGGTGAGCCGAGATCGCGCCATTGCACTCCAGCCTGGGTAACATGAGTGAAACTCCGTCTCGGTAACAGAACAAGAAAAAAAAAAAAAAAAGTATATCAAGGCCGGGGGCGGTGGCTCACGCCTGTAATCTCAGCACTTTGGGAGACCAAGGCATGCAGATCACCTGAGGTTGGGAGTTCAAGACCAGCCTGACCAACATGGAGAAACCCCATCTCTATTAAAAATACAAAATTAGCTGGGCGAAGTGGCACATGCCTGTAATCCCAACTACTCGGCAGGCTGAGGCAGGGGAATAGCTTGAATCCGTGAGGTGGAGGTTACAGTGAGCCAAGATCGTGCCACTGCACTCCAGCCTGGGCAACAGAGCTAGACCCCGTCTCAAAAAAAAAAATCAAATACATCCTTATTGAGTGTGATGAAGCTTACCAAGAAAAAAGTGGGAGAGGGAGACCAGACAATGTATAAAGGAGATCCAAACTTGGGAGCAGGGAAGGCTTCCCTGGGGAAGGATAGTTGAGCTGAGATCCGAAGGATGAACAGGTGTTAGCATGGTGAAGATGTGACAGGTGGAATGAGCCGGGAGGAGGGAACAGTCTCCTTTTACAGGAGCAGAGGGGAAAGCGCTGGACAAGGGCAGAGGAGGGGCCACAAAGGAAAGGTATTTAGACAGCAGACTGGCCAGAGCCCAGTGGAGGACTGCAGGTGAGGGAGAAAAGGCAGGCGTCGGGACTCCGGGGCTTCTGGTTTGAAAGCCAGTAAGGATATGGAGTGTTGAGACACAACTACCCGCCCCCAGACTGATGCACACTCCCTGGGGCGTGCTGTGCCTTCCTCATAGCAGTTACACAATGTACCAGATACTTTACTCATTGCCTTGTCTGTCTCCTCCAACGATGAGGAAGCTCCAGGAAGGCAAAGATTTTTGACGGTTCAATGAGTAATCCCCATGTTTTCTCAGAGACAGGGTCTCACTCCGTCACCCAGGCTGGAGTGCCGTGGCATGATCATAGCTCACTGCAGCCTTGAACTCCTGGGCCCAGGTGATCCTCCCACCTCAGCCTCCCGAGTTGCTGGTAGTATACACATGTGTCATCACACCCAGCTAATTTTAAAAATTTCTTTTAGAGGTGGGGTCTTGCTATGCTGCCCAGGCTAGTCTTGAACGCTGGGCCTCAAGTGATTCTCCCACCTCTGCCTGCTGAGTAGCTGGGATTACATGTGCAAGTCACCAGACCTGGCTAAATGTATTTTTTATTTATGATGTTTCCAACTTATGATAGTTTACATCTGTACATTGAGATGGTAACAAGCAACATCCTCTCTGGGGCTTCCTGGAAGGAAACCAGAGCCAGTAAAAACGTCTTACATACAGGCCAGGCCCAGCAGCTCATGCCTGTAATCCCAGTAATTTGGGAAGCCAAGGCAGGCAGATTGCTTGAGTCCAGAAGCTCAAGAACAGCCTGGTCAGCATGGCAAAACCCTGTCTCTACAAAAAGTATAAAAATTAAGGCTGGGCACGGTGGCTCACGCCTGTAATCCCAGCACTCTGGAAGGCCAAGGGGGGTGGATCATGATATCAGGAGATGGAGATCATCCTTGCCAACATGGTGAAACCCCATCTCTACTAAAAGTACAAAAAATTAGCCAGGTGTGGTGGCGTGTGCTTGTAGTCCCAGCTACTCGGGAGGCTGAGGCAGGAGAATCACTTGAACCTGGGAGGCAGAAGTCAAAGGGAGCCGAGATCACGCCACTGCACTCCAGCCTGAGCAACACAGTGAGACTGTCTCAAAAAAAGAAAAAACAAAGGAAAAATTAGCCAGGTGGGATGAAGCACACCTATAGTCCCAACTACTCGGGAGGCTGAGTGGGGAGGATTGCTTGAGCCTTCGAGGTGGAAGCTGCCGTGAGCCAACACTGCGACACTGCATTCCAGCCTGGGTGACAGTGTGAGACCCCCATCTCAAAAACAAAACAAAACGAAACAAGGCCCAGCGCCTTAGCTCACGCCTATGATCCTAGTACTTTGGGAAGCCAAGGCATGCGGATCACCTGGGGCTGGGAGTTCTGAGACCAGCCTGGCCAACATGGCAAAACCCCATTTCTACTAAAAATACAAAAATTAGCCAGGCATGGTGATGCCAGCCCGCTTGTGGTCCCAGCTACTTGGGAAGCTGAAGAGTGGGATGGTCACTTGAGCCCAGGAGGTTGAGGCAGCAATGAGCCATGACTGCACCACTGCACTCCACCCAGCCTGGGTGACAGAGCGGGACCCTGTCATACACACACACTCTCTCTCCCAGGCCGGTCACAGTAGTTCACACCTATAATCCTAGCACTTTGAGAGGCTTAGCCAGGAGAATCACTTGAGCCTAGGGGTTCGAGACCAGCCTGGGCAATACAGCAAAACTCATCTCTTTTTTTGGTCCCGAGGTCCTGCCATTGCCCAGGCAGGAGTGCAATGGCGAGACCTTGGCTCATTGCAACCTCTGCCTCCCGTGTAGCTGGAATTACAGGCACTCGCCATCATGCCTGGTTAACTTTTGTAGAGATAGGGTTTCGCCATGTTGGCCAGGCTGGTCTTGAACTCCTGACCTCCGCCTCCTGGGTTCAAGCGACTCTTCTGCCTCAGCCTTCTGAGTAGCTCGGATTACAGGCGCCCGCCACCACACCTGGCTAATTTTTGTATTTTTAGTAGAGACGGGGTTTCGCCATGTTGGCCAGGCTGGTGTCGAACTCCTGACAGGTGATCAGCCCACCTCGGCCTCCCAAAGTGCTGGGATCACAGGCGTGAGCCACCGGGCCCAGCGGCATATTTCTGTTAATTATTTGACTCCCCTAGTGAAATGTAAGCTTCAGGAGAATGGGGATTCTGTATTTGAGTGCCTGGAATACAACAGGCGCTCAGTAAGTGGGTGTCGAATGAATAAATATCCCACTCTGAGGCTTAGGTACGTTATGATGGTCACTTTACAAAAGAGAAAACTAGGACACAAAAAGATTAAGTCACTGGGTCGCACACCTAGTGAGTGGCGGAGGCGAGTCCTCGGCGCACGCCCAATAACAGCATTACTGCGATTACCAGCCGCTTACTCAGGCCTTGAGCTAAGTGCTTTACCCTGAGTCATCTCGCTCAATTTAGCAATAACCCCGAGCCGGCACCGTCGCGAACCCAACTTTCCAGAGGAAGATGCCAGCGCCAGATGTTGCCCTGCAAGGCAGGGGCTAGGCTAGGGTTCGAACCCGGACGGCTGACGCGCCCTCCGCGCTCCCCGAGGCGTTACCGTGGCGGCCCCCGGCTCCTCCCCCCCAGGGTTCAGCGCTCACCCCCGGGCCGGGGTCGGGGTCGTGAGCCCACAACTCCGCCACCATCTCCGTGTGAAGAAACTCGAACAGCACAGCATCCGCCATCCACCCTCCTCGCGCGCCTAAAGAAGCTCCCAACCCTTCCCGCTCTCATTGGCCAGCCTGGGTAAGCCCCGCCTCTCGCGTCAGGGCGCGAGCCCTCCTACCACCGCTTCCATTGGTGTTTTACGCTAGCCCTGCCTCCTCGCTTCAGCTTCACGTGGTGTGCATGTGAGCCTGGGCCACTAGGGGGCGGGCCTACTCCGCCTCTGATTGGCCACACGTGACATCTTCTGCCCTTACTTCCGTCCCTTCCCTATTTCCGGGTTCTCGAGCATTCCTATTGGCCAAATTACTGGTTTTACACGTGACATATTCGGCTTTTAAAACCCCTATTTGTCCACTACAGACTTTCCTCGCCGCACAACCCGGAAGAGCTGGCCCAGCCGCTTCTCTATTGGCAGTTCCTCCATTCAGGTGTGTCTTCTGCACACGCCCTCAAAGCCGATGCTGAGAACTTGCTTTCTGATTGGTAGCCGGGAGAGTTCATGTGACTTGGCCGCTATTGCCCGCCCAACTCACTTCCCTATTGGTCGAGATCACAGCCCTTCAGCTGCTACGGTGAGGACGCAGCACTCCGGCTAGGAAGCAGATCCTGCAGGCTCGGAGCGTCAGCTGCCGGGTACGGTCTTTGGCGATAGCGCTTTCCTATCCCATGAGTGTCCCCTGCGGAGTCCAGTGGGGCTGTCATCCTTTCTGAGACTCTGGCACTGGTCCCGAGCAGCTCACGGGCCCGTGTGCTTCCGCCTCTAAGAGTGGCATGGTGGACCAGGTGGAGGGTGTGGCCTCTACTGAGAGGCAAATTCGTAAAGAGCTCAGCTTGGGATTCCGGGAACTCGGGCCCCAGAGCCATGATTGAGCTGGTCAGTTTCCCCATCTGTACACTGAAGAGCCTGGGGTCCAGTAACCCCCATCATCACCCAGTTTACAGAACAGGAAACTGAGGCCCAGGCAGGGGGAACAGCTGACCCCAAATCATTAAAAGAATCAGCGAAGGGGCTGGGAATCCAGGTCCTGCGCCTTTTACCCACCGCGGCGCCCGTCTCACGTGCAGTCCCGTCGCTCTTCTCCCCTAGCTCGGCGCCATGGCGTCCCAGGGTCGGCGGCGGAGGCACCCGCGGAGGCTGGAGACGGTGGTGCCGGGGGAAGCGACCGAGACGGATTCGGAGCCCTCTGCGTCCTCGTCTGAGGAGGAGGAGCTGTACCTGGGTCCTTCGGGCCCGACGCGCGGCCGCCCCACGGGGCTGCGGGTGGCTGGGGAAGCCGCGGAGACCGACTCGGACCCGGACCCGGAGCCGGAGCCGGAGCCGACGGCTGCGCCCAGGGACCTGCCTCCGCTCGTGGTGCAGCGGGAATCGGCGGAGGAGACCTGGGGCGCGGAGGAGGCCCCGGCGCCCGCCCCCGCGCGCTCACTTCTGCAACTTCGGCTGGCGGAGAGCCAGGCTCGGCTGGACCACGACGTGGCGGCCGCCGTGAGCGGTGTGTACCGCCGTGCGGGCCGCGACGTGGCCGCCCTGGCTAGTAGGCTGGCGGCAGCCCAGGCGGCGGGGCTGGCGGCGGCCCACAGCGTGCGCCTGGCGCGCGGGGACCTCTGCGCGCTGGCTGAGCGCCTGGACATCGTGGCTGGCTGCCGCCTGCTGCCGGACATCCGCGGCGTGCCGGGTACCGAGCCTGAGCAGGACCCGGGGCCGCGGGCCTAGCCATGATTCTACTTCCCAACCTGACTACCTGACCCTGCAATTTGGGGGTAGGCCTTGCTGCCTCTGGAACTTGACTCTGTCCCTTGTGTCTCTTTTAATTATTTTTACTTTTTTATTTTAAAGACGGGGTTTCACCATGTTGGCCAGGCTGGTCTTGAACTCTTGACGTCAGGTGATCCTCCCGCCTCGGCCTCCCAAAGTGCTGGGATTACAGGCGTGAGCCACCGCGCCGGGCCCCTTGTGTCTCTTATCAACCCCATACCTCGCCCCCATCTTGGTGTCACCCATGGGGGCTAATCCGGTCCCCTTGGGTAATGCCTTGTATTGGATATAGTTCAACCGCTACTGTGGAGACCAGGGCCCCACTACCCTTAGACCTGGTTCATGCCCGCTGATCCTGACCCTGCTCCCTGGTTCTGAGCCTTCCTCTGGGGCTTGGCTCCGGCCTTTGATGAATAGTTGCTCCTTAAACTGTTTCCACTCTAGAGGCTCACCATGTCATATTTTTTCTTCTACCTTTTTTTCTTTTTACTTTTTTTTCTTTTTACTGTTTTTTTTTTTTTTGAGGCAGGGTCTCTGTCACCCAGGCTAGAGTGCAGTGGCAGGGTCAGCATTCACTACAGCCTCGACCACAGGCTCAAGTGATCCTACCACCACAGCCTTCCAGAGTTTTGGGACTTCAGACCTACGCCACCACACCCAGTTGCCTGGTTAATTTTTCTTCTGACCGTTTGAAGAGGGAAGAAGGTCTCATTATGTTGCCCAGGCTTGTCTTAAACTCCCGGGCTCAAGAGATCCTCCCACCTTGGCGTCCCAAGGTGCTGGGGTTACAGGTTTGAGCCAGCACACTGGGCTGTGCTCTGCCTTTCTGAGTTTGGTTTCTGCTCATGGTACGGGGACTTGTCCCCATTCTTCCCACAGGAACTCAGGATATGACACAGCTTCCCTGCTGTCTTCCTTAACTCTCTTGGCTACATCTCCCACCCTAGCTCCACTGCCAGAACTTCCCTCCCCCTAGTCTGGATCTTTGTTTTGTTTTTAGAGACAGGGTCTCCATTGCCCAGGCTGGAGTGCAGTGGCACGATCTCTGCTCACTGCAACCTCCACTAGCTGGGATAACAGGTGGGCACCCCCATGCCTGGCTAATTTTTATATTTTTAGTAGAGATGGGGTTTCACCATGTTGGCCAGGCTGGCCTTGAACTCCTGGCCTCAGGTGATCTGCCCACCTCCCCTCCCAAAGTGCTGGGATTATAGGCGTGGGCCACTGTGCCCAACCAGCTGGGTCCTTATTCTGCTGCCCGGGCTGGGCGTTGGCTCCATGGGCTGGTTCTAGTTTTTGCTCTCCAGTCTCTTGCCTCCTTCTCCTTCTCCTTGAGCACAGCTCCACCCTCTCAGCCTGATTTTGTTTCCTGAGTCCAGCTGTGCTGTGGGATAGGTTTCACTTCCTATTGCTGTCTCTATCCTGCGTACACCTCCCTGATCCTGGGCTCTGAGGACTCCCTATGGTTTTCTTCCTTCTGCGGGCCCAAAATGATGACCCCTCCTAACCCAAGGCAGGGGATCTTCCTCCTGACTCTGGACCAAGGTGGCATTTCCTGCAGGCCCCTCCAGGCCAACGTGATGCTTGCTCTGAACTCTCTAGGCCAAGGTGGTGGCCTCTCCTGACGCTCCAGACCTGAAGTGACACCCTTCAGGCACTTCAGGCCCGATTCAGTCCTGCCCTGGTGCTTTGGGCGCCAGACGACAGCGCTTTACACATAAGAACGATATGACGCGTGTGGATTTCACTACGTTGGCTCCTGGATGCTGTAAAAGGCCTTGGATTTCTGACTTGGCTCAGGACCTGGGGTTAGCAGCCACCTTCTCCTTCGCACCTGCCCCATCTTCCAGCCCCAGCTCTGGTCCTTCAGCCGCGTTCAGACTGACTCGCCTCTCCCAGCCTATTACCCTCTCCCCTGTCCCAATCCAAAGCCAAGTTCTGAGGCCCCAGGATGGAGAATGGCAGGAGCTTTTCATGGCAGACTGATTAAAGCTCGAAGCCTTTACCCTTACTGTTAGTTCCTCTTGTCTCCCCCTGCCAAGCTGGGGGTGCGTTGGTTGATTTCTGTGAGAATGGGGGTCCCAAGGCCTCTATGCTTGGCCCTAAGGAAGCTGAAGCTGTAGTTGGGAAATCAGGGGCCCTAGATTTTTGCCCTGGTTCTATATTTACTTGTATTTTATTAATTGAACACACACACTTGGGTACCTGGCCTGTGCTGAGGCTGGGCGAATAGCCCTCGCATGGGCCACAGTCCAGTGGGAGAAACTGGTAAGATGTTCTCACAGATAGTTGTAGTAATCATATTTTTTGGAGACGGAGTCTTTCTCTTGCCCAGGCTGGAGTGCAGTGGCGCGATGTCAGCTCACCACAACCTCCGCCTCCTGGGTTCAAGCGATTCTTCTGCCTCAGCCTCCTGAGTAGCAGGGATTACATGCGCATGCTACTTCGCCCAGCTAAGTTTTTTGTATTTTTAGTAGAGACAGGGTTTCACCATGTTGGTCAGGCTGGTCTTGAACTTCTGACCTTGTGATCTGTCTGCCTTGGCCTCCCAAAGCGCTGGGATTACAGGCGTGAGCCACCGAGCCCAGCCTAGTAATCATAATTTATAGTTTAATTTTTTTTTTTGAGACAGAGTTTCACTCTTGTTGCCCAGGCTGGAGTGCAATGGCATGATCTTGGCTCACCACAACCTCTGCCTCCCAGGTTCAAGCGATTCTCCTGCCGCAGCTGCCCAAGTAGCTGGGATTACAGGCATGCACCACCATGCCCGGCTAATTTTGTATTTTTAGTAGAGACAGGGTTTCTCCATGTTGGTCAGGCTGGACTTGAACCCCCGACATCGGGTGATCTGCCCACCTCGGCCTCCCAAAGTGCTGGGATTACAGGAGTGAGCCGCCATGCCTGGCCGAAAATATGAAAATTAACCGGGCATGGTGGCAGACCCCTGTAATCGCAGCTACTCAGGAGGCTGAGGCAGGAGAATCGCTTGAACCTGAGAGGCAGCAGTTGCAGTGAGCTGAGATCGTGCCACTGCACTCCAGCCTGGGTGACAGAGCAAGACTGTCTCAAAAAAAAAAAAAAGTAGGTGCAAGTCAACCAGCATCTCCTCCCTCCTCAGCACTCCGTCCGGCTCCCCTTCCTCACCTAGGGTGAGTGGATCACAATTCAAAGAGGAGGCTCTCCCAGCACCTCTCTTTTCAGTGAGTTTAGCAAGAGTTCCCGAGGAGCGGAGGTGCCTGGGAGGGTGGCAGCTTGGTGGCCCCGTGGTGGATTTCCAGCCCCAGACCGGAGCACAGTCTTTCCCTCACTCCTTAAACTCCGGTATACTAGCCAGGCCTGGCTTTCGGGCTCTCTCTCTCTCTCTCTCTCTCTCTCTCTCTCTCTCTCTCTCTTTCTCTCTCTTCCTCCCTCCCTCCCTCCCTCCCTCTCTTCCTCCCTTCCTTCCTTCCTTCTTTTTTTTCTCTTTCTCCTTCCTTTTCTTTTTTCTTTCTGTGGGGTCTCACTATTTTGCTCAGGTCTCGAACTCTTGGCCACAATCAATCCTCCTACCTCGGCGTGGCAGGGATGGGAATCTGATTGGAGAGGGTACAAGAGGGTGTGGAAGGAGAGCCAGAGGAGACCTTCCTCTTTGCAATGTCGAGTGAACGGTTGGGATGGTAAGAAATGGGGAAGTGGCAGGGCATGGCGGCTTACACCTGTAATACCAGCATTTTGGGAGGCTGAGGTGAGAGCATCTGTTGAGCCCAGGAGTTCGAGACCAGCCTGGACAACATAGCAAGACCCCATCTCTACAAAAAAATAAAATTAGCCAAGTGTGGTGGTGTATGCCTGTGGTCTCAGCTACTTGTGAGGCTGAGATGGGAGAATTGCTTGAGCCCAGGTGGTCGAGGCTGCAGTGAGCCATGATTGTGCCATCCCACCTGTTGGCAACAGAGTGAGACCTTGTCTCGAAAAGAAAGGGAGGGACGGAGGGAGGGGAAAGAGTGGGCAAGCAGGGAGGGAAGGAAGGAAGGGAGTGAGGGAGGGAGGAAGAAAGAGCACAGAAGCAGGGAGGGAGGGAGGGGAAGGAGTGGGCAAGCAAGGAGGGAAGGAAGGAAGGGAGTGAGGGAGGGAGGAAGAAAGAGCACAGAAACAGGGAGGGAGGGAGGGAGGGGTACGTGGATGAAGACGGAAGGGAGGGAGGGAGGGGTACCTGGATGGAGATGGAAGGAAAGGAGGGAGGGAGGGAGGGAACCTGGATGGGGAAGATGGGAGGGACCGTGGCAGGTCTGTGTGCTGATGGGAAGATTTCAGAAGAGGAAGTCATGATGCAGGGGAAAGATGGGAGAAAACCCAGATCATTGTCCTGGAGTAGGTAAGAAGGGAGGAGGAGAGAGCCCCCAAGGGGAAGGGCAACACTGGGGTGAGAGAGGCTATTTGTGGCTAGTTGCAAGCCACTGGGTAGTGATGACCACTCTGGTCATCACTGCCTGGGGATTGGTCTGTCACCACCACTGGACTGTGAGTCCTATGAGGACAGGGCTGAGGGTGCCTTGGCTGGTGCCAGCCAACCCAGGGCAACCACAGAGCAGCTGCTGGGCAAAGTGTGTGTTGAGTGGATGAGGGAATGTCTTCACACTATCACAGCGTCAGCCTCTCAGATGCATGGAGCTGTCGAGAGCTTCAGGCACCGCCTCCCTCCAAGGGTGATGGCTCTCAGTCACATGTCACATCCCCTTCAGATATGCAGGATGAGAGGCTCAGATGTGCACCGAAATGCCGACCAACACCCACTCCACTAATACCTCCTAATGCGTTTCAAGGGCAAGGGCTTTCAAGGCATTTTAATCCCATTCTAATCCCAGCTACTCGGGAGGCTGAGGCAAGAGAGTTGCTTCAACCCAGGAGGCGGAGGTTGCAGTGAGCCGAGATCATGGCACTGCTCTCCAGCCTGGGCAGAAGAGCGAGACTCCATCTCAAAAAAAGAGAGAGAAAAAGAAAGGAAAGAAAGAAAGAGAAAGAAATAGACCTCTGGCTACTGAGGGTGTATGAGAGGGGACGAGACTGGGTCTGTCCTGGTCGCTCTGTGTCCCCAGCACCATCAGCAGAGAGCAGGTGCT